AAAAAAAAAAAAAAAAAGAGGGTAGCTTTTCACCATTATGACTAATTGTACCGCAAAAAAATACAAACACGTCATATTAAATCACATCACTGCCTTTAATCCAGCTGCAGTTTGATACCTGTTTTGAATCAGGTTTATACATTTGTTGTTGTAGTGTCAGGTACCTGTCACCACTTGGTGTTGTGACTATTTGAAAAAAAAACAAACAAAAAAACAGCACAATGCACAACATCGAAAATGTGCCAGTTCAAAATGTTGTCGCTGAGTTTGTTTTTTTTTGTTGTTTTTTTGAACAGCACAGCAGAAACACATGCCTTCACGTTTCTTTTTTCCTCCTCACCATTCAGTCACCTGCTCAGGAAGTTCAAGAATCGATGGTGATGCAGAAGTCGCACGTTTGTGCTTTGAAGGTAGAGTCGGAGGTGAGAAAGATTGCCTTTTTTCGACAGTCATCTCTGCGGTGGTCGACAGGACAGGTAAAAATGGTGGCAAACATGTAAGCAGCAGCACACAGGAAACCCCCAGAGGAAGACGGCATGACCACAGAGGCTCGCTGCACACCTCTTCACTTACACCTTGTCTCATTTCTGCAAAAGAGACAAAGTGCTTGCTGCGTTTTTTTTTGTTTTTTTTTTGTATTTTTGTATTTTTGTTCCCCGCACACATCGCTGCCACTGCTGCACAGGGTTTAGGCTTACGATAAACAGAACAAAATGCACCTTTACGCATTGCAGGGAGTAACTTTTAAAGATGAAAAAAAACTTGATATATTTGCATAATTAATCAGGTAATCAGCTCCATGAGACTTTTTCGGAATTTTTTTTTTCCATAGGAAATATTGAAAGCAAGGTAATTTTATATTTAGCGCTGCAAATGCTAGTAACTTTGATGGTAACTACTGTGTGTACTTGTATTTACCTCTACAGTAGATAGGCCTTCAGGCCTTCATCTTATATATAATGTGTACCTTGATAAGTTATTTCAGTATATACATTTAAAAAAAACAGATCAAGTCACCCATGTCTGATTAAATTTTTTTTTTTTCATGTTTAGACTTTAATATTTCTCTAAAGTACAGGTAGTTAAAAAAAGGTTTAAAACCCCCCAAAAAAAAAAAAAAAAAAAAAATCTGACAACCAAGCCCCGAGAATGTTTTGAGGTACAGATGTGTATTCCGCCTGTGATTTTGTGTCATCCTGTGGCAATGAGACACGACAACAACCATAGCGTGTGTCGAGGATGACTGTACCAGTCTGCGTAACGTATAGAAACAGAAGCTAAGAAGTGCTCAAAGTTTTATGCTCCTTAAAATCCTAAATGTTCTGTTTTTTTACAAAACATATATATAAATATATATGTAAATACTCCCTCAGTCATTCCAGTCAGTAAAAGAGAATACCTAGTACTTTGGAAATATATTTTTTTGTGCATGTATACGAAGCCAAAACAGTGACAGTGAGTTACACACGAACACGAACAACTGTTCATCTGCGACAGGAGGGAAACCTCAGTGAACTGAAGCGAACAGAGAGATAATCTTTTCTCAAGGTCGCAGTCGTCTCTCTACTCTCTACCTGAAATGTACAGCTATTAATTTAGGATTTCTGCGAAGGCAGTCGTTCGACTTCACCATCATTATAGGCTGCAAAAAAAATAAACCATGGATTTCTATAGATGACTCACCACAATCTAAGAATACGCTGGTGTGGGAATCGACCAGAAGGGTGAAAGTACACACCCTGAGTGAGTGCACGTCTTCGTCTCCCTCACAACACCTACAGCGCACGTGTTACCTTAAAGTCACGGCTGTGGTTTGGGTTTGCACCTTCTTCTTTTTTTTTTTTTTCTCGCAGCATGTGTTTCATGTTTTTCTCTGAAATTGTAAGAAAACAGAACCTTCTAGAAGTAGACGACGGTGACATTTGAGGTCAGAACAACTGAGTTCATGGTCACTGTCCAGTTAAAGATATGTTAACAACTTCTTGGTGTCACTGTATTGCAGTGGTTACCAAAGTAGGGGACAGGGGTATCAAGCAAGGCGGGGAACCGTTGCCGGGAGGGTCCATATGTAATTAATTCAAATTTATTATAGTCCAGGTATTTTCAGAACCACAAAAAATAATTTTACCACCTTTGAACTTTAGATGAAGTTCAAAAACACAGATAGATTTATTTGATTGATCCCAGACTGGGAAATTAATTCATCTCTGATGGCAAGTGTGAAGTAATACTAATGAAAAAAAATGTTTTTATAATATATTTGCCCTCATTGTCCATTACATTTCCAGCCTTGAAAAATAATACATTTTCTGTATTAAAAAACAAAAAGGTCAATGTCATAAAAAAGTCTGTACACAGTTCACATTGTCTCCTCGTGTGAGCCTGAGTTTCTGCCAAGAACTCCAGCATCCAAAAACATTTTCTTCGGTTCGGTGTTTACTCTAAATGTAGTGTGAGTGTGAATGGACACACACAGTATGAACAGCCGACCACGGTAGTTAAATCCCTGTCCAGCAGATGGCAGTAATCTATACATTGCTGACACTGACGTGTTGAATTAACCACCAAAGAACCAGTGTCTCTCTCTGCTGGACACTTTGGCCCGATTGGAGAGCCACGGTTGATTTTTTTTTTTTTTTTGGTTTATATTTCCTGTATTTTCTGTGAGTTTTTTCGGATCGACAGGTTTTGTGTAATGAACAGCAGCTTAGAGAAATTTAAGGCTAAGTGTCGTCATTTGACCTTTGAGCCGGAGGACCCAGCCCACTCTCCGTTTCTCACCCTTTAACATTTTCGCTAAACGTTTAGCCACAGGGTTGCACATGATTAATGTCTGCTATTATTCAGCTTTATTTGTGGGCCCGCCACATGATAACAGGTTCTCAGCAGGACAGAGATGTGACGTTGCGATCGGTTGAACTTGAAGTTTTCACGTGGGCCGAGTTGTCGTCTGAGGGCTGTGCTCTGATGGCTCCTGTGATATTGGAGAGAGCAGCTCATATGTGAACAATGAAACTGACAGCAGCGCAGTCACAGTCAGAGCGCGACTGGTCGACAAACCAACAGTGTGTGTGTGGTATCAGCCGACAGCTCAGCAGCTTTTTGAAGATGAGAAAATGCCAAGAGGGGATTCTCTTTTTGTGTCACAAAGGCCGTCCCCCCGATTGAACACAGTCATTGGGAGAGTTGCTGAAACAAAGGCAAAATAGTTGCTTATTGTCAATTTAAAGCTAACACCGCTGCGGCGCTGTGGAGCTGTTTCTTTCTCTGGCGGTGCTTTAATCAATATGAGGAAATTAAGGTGGTGTTTACTCCCCGGGCCCATTGTTCCATGAGCTTCAGCATCTTTAATGCTGCAGATGTTGGCCCTCGGCTGCTGCTGCTGCTGCTGCTGCTGGTGGTGGTAAATACTCTGACAGGGTGGTGTCTTCGTCTAATGAGCAAGGCATCTAACAGCACAGAGCTTTGAGTTTCGCCAGTTTCTGTGGCACCACAGGGGCTTGAATTTTTCTATTTCTGTCTGAAGAAAAGACACACACACTCACACCCGCACACACACACACACTCAAAAACACCATCTTGTTGTCTTGCTTCAGTGTCTGGTGGTTCCCCTTTAATCCGTAGTGATGCAGTTTGGTTTTCGCTCGTTGGTTCGTTTGTTTGTTTGTTCAAAGTTTTCAAACCTCTTTCCACGTCAGCGGCTCATTTCGATCACATTATTATATTTTATTTTTGCTTCTTGTCTTTATTAATGTTTTATAGTCTCTCTCTATATATTTATTTATACAGTATATACATGTTAACACAATTACTATTAATGGTTATTGATAACAATTAATCACGATTAATCAAGATAGTCTTATGTACCTAAAGTTCGCCAATAAAATCAATGTCATTTTTCACTCAAGTTGTTTTCTTCCAAACACAAAGGCAAACACGTGGAAAAATGTCTAAAAGACATGTCCATCTCTGCATCTCGACGACGGCATGTGGATCACGCCGAGAGTCACTCTCCGAAACCTCGTCGAAGACGTTGCCCTCAACAGAACTAATCTAGTCTAGAATGACGCTGCTAATTGAATAACGCTCGTCATTATCATCTTGCAATGGTTCGTTTACAGGAGTTTCCAATCAGTCATTTCCCGCGTGTCGTGGGAAGTACACGGTGATGTGTTCATCGGTGGTATTTTGAGATTACGTCGGCTACTACGTCTTTTTTTTTTTCTTGCTTCTGAGTGGAAAAGTTTACTAGTGGAAAATAGTGCAGTGATGCCGGTACGAGATTTGGACGGTGCATCGCTGACTCGTGTTTAGATCAACCTAGATTTCAACAGGCAGCTGAACAGAACGTCAGGGCTCACAGCCTACAGCTATAAGAATATATGTAATATATATTTCAACTGTCTATATAGCCCCACCAATAGGTGATAAAGGGAAACAATATGCTGTTAAAATTTAGTAGTTTAAACTAGTGGCTCTCAACGTGGTGCAATGTCCCCCTAGTGGTCTTTTTATATATGTACATATATTTATATATTTTTTTAACCATTTGTCCTGAACCGTAAAACGCGCGGACCGCTGCAACCGTCGGCTTTTTAATTTTCCGGTGGTACTCGAACGCACCTTGTGCGACAGGTGACAATTAAAATTTGGGCCTGACAAGAACAGTTACATGAATCGGTGTGTGTGGCTCTGCTATACTTGTGGGCCCATTGTTGTGGGGACACTTTTTCTCTCCAAGGACATGTTGTCCTTGCAGGGATCCCAGTGACTTCTTTGAGGTTCAAGCTTTAGTTTGGGATAAGGATAACAACTGGGGCCAGATTAGAGTCAGTGGAAGGATTAGGATTGGGTATATATATTTGTAATGGTTAAGGTAACAGTACGGGGGAGGGGGAAATGTGTGAGTGTGTGTGTGTGTGTTAGTGTTTCAGGGAATTCCCTGCTGTCATGGGTATTTCACAACACTACATCACTGGAAGGATTTATGCCAAGGACAGTTGACTCTGATGTTTTCAGTGGGTTTTTTTTTCCTCCTTTAATTTTAATTTAATCTGCTTTTCTCTTATTCTCTACAAATCACATTGTCCTCTCTCAGAATAGACGGTGATGAACTCTTACATTTACAGTGTGCTGATGTCTTCTTATCGCCATCAAACACACACACACACACACACACACACACACTCCCTCCTCCACACAGACATGACCTTTACCATCTCCACTGCTGTGTCACACTTCGAGCCTGACATATTCTCGCTTCTGTCGTTCTGACCTCCTCTCCAAAAAAATAAAAAATAAAAAGAAATAACAACAGTCGCAGCTCAAACCGGACTGTGTGAACTCCTCCGTATCACTGCCGTGTTTTACAGTCATTTTCGCAATCATCAGAAGATGAAGAAGAAGAATGTTTGCACTTCCTTTTTCTCTGGCCACAGAAATGTAATGAAAGCAAAGCAAAAACAGCAAATTACCACCATCTCCATTTGGCCTCTGTGTAATTTAAAGCATTTAATCCTCAATTTGCTGTCAGCATATAATCTGTTAAAACATTCGGGTCATTTGTAATTAAAAGTGGCATTCCGGAGTTCAGAACCTAAGAGGAATGTTTATTACAGGCTTTGGTGGAACAAACCCACCCTGGGTCAGTGTTGATATCACACACTGCGTGTGTCTGTTTGAAGCGTCCATCTTTTTCCAAATGCCTTTTATCTGGTAACTGTTCATAAACTGCTCTAGTCAGAAAGAGAGAGAGAGAGAGAGAGAAGAAAAAAAATCACATCACCTCAGACTGAGATAGGGTGAGAGAGCGTAGCTCGCTGCTCATGTGAAGGGAATCAGGTGGGAGGCGTCACTTCTTGGTTGAGGTCCTGCCCTGACTCATCGTACCAGTGTGGGGCAGCAGGTATGAGCAGGAGAAACGCAGCGACTAGATTTACTGCCAGTTAACTAGCGAGCGTCCCTCAGTGTCAGTGTCTTCGATGCTCTCTAGAGATGAATGTGGAGCCACCGTGCTGCCTCTGATCTGCTGTCGTAGGTACTGTGAAACGTCAATACACACATTTTCCTCTGCTGGCTTCTGTGTTTAGCGTGTGGGCGTCCATGACCCTTATTTGTGTAATGGGTTTGTGTTTTTTTTTTTGCGAGGAAGACATAGTTACTTTCAGAAATAGTTACTTTCTTGATAAGTTTTGAAGATGGTAAAATATTGAGGGACATTTTTTTTAAAAGTTAAATTGACGTATATATAGTATATTGGATGTATTTAAATCTTGAATTGTGATTTTTTAAAATTTTTTTGTGTTGTTCGTAGTCATTTTGCTGCTTGGGCACTTTCATTGTATATTAAAAATACTATATACATATATATTAGTAGAAATTAACCTCCTTGTAAATAGGTTAAATGTAAATATATGTAATATATTGTACTATAATATGTAATACAATATTCTATATTTATTTATGTGCATAATACATTGCTGCTTATTTTTATTTATTTGTTTGTTTATTTGACCACAGTTTAGACCTTAGAAAAGGTGTCATTTGTCGTAGTTAAGTTAATCCCGCACAACTGACAGTTAGCAGTTAGCAGAACCACCGAAAAAACGGATTGTTTTTCGCAAATATATTTGCGAAAAACAGTTGCGAAAGACAGAATAAATTGGGTTTTTTTTTTTTTTGGTGGTTCTTTTTTTTTAAAGCAAAGAAAAAACGTTTTTTAAATGTCACTGATACGGTAGTATTTGTACTGTGTTGGTAGTACACGTACTGTGTGGTAAATTGTGGCCTTGCTGCTTTGTTTTCGCCGTTAAAACCCACATGAAAGAAAAAAACAACAAAGTAATGTCGAGGTAATTACTGCGTATTCACAACTTTACTGCATAATTACCAAGTGTGCTTTATAAAATCAACTGCTGTTTAGCGTCTTGCTGTGCAGGAGTTCCTCTCTAGGATACACGCAGGGCTAAATGAACATAGACAGGAGCGAGCTGGCTCCGTCTGCCTCCCCCTCCTCCCCTACTGTCTAAAATAAACATTGTTGCTGTGGTAAATATTTTAATGCGACCGTTTCAAAAATTCCCTGTCACAAACATGTGTGCTTATGAATTCACTTCAGCGTCATCCGCCTCCTCTCAGGCCTCTGATCAGATTCAGGATGAAAACCCGCCAGAGTGGAACAGATCAATCATCTGGGGAAACAAATTGTGAATTTGTGACTTGTATCAGAAAGTTGTGCGAACGAGTGGAATACGCCGACACGTTCTTGGCTGGCGTCCTCTAAAATCTTTGACTACAGTCAGCTGTCAGCAGGAGAAAGTGACAGGAAGGGGGGTGTGGGGGTGTGGGGGTTGAAGGCAGAGCGGTGCGGTTTTAGCTAACCGGCATGACATGGCGTTATTGTCGAGTCGCCCGGTATACCGAGCGGTCGGCGTTGTCAAGCATGATGCAGCAGAGTTCTGCTAGCACACTCTGGATATGAGTCTCCTTCCTAACACACACACACACACACACACACACGCAGTATGAAGAACAGCAGCGAGTGTGGCGTCCTCATCGCTGTCGTGCTCTGCGCTATGTTGTGTTCGCCTTGTTACAACACATAACACATTCTCAACACACATTGCACCAGTGCGTCACTCCTAAACTCATTTAAACCCCGGCACACAGTCTTTATTTGCAGGCAACCCAGTACCTCCTGCCTTGTTCAAAGGCTTCGCCGTTCCAACCGAGAAAAAAAAAAAAAAAGAAGAAAAGAAAAGACCTATTTGAAGGATGCATTCGCTATCCAAATAAATAAATCAGCGGGCGTGATAATGAAAGCCATCCCTGTGCGCCGCTGCTTTAATGACAGGACATATAGACTCGGTGTCACTCACTGTCATGCGAGAGAAAATTAGAGCCAATTTGATGCTAATCAGGACCAGATTTGTTCTCTCTCTCTCGCTGCCTCTCTCGCTCTCTCTCTCTCTCAGGGCCCAGTGGCGTCTCATATCATCCCAGAGGAAAAAAAAAAGCTCACGCATTGCTGATAGACCAACCTCAGTTATACTTTATTACTTCACCGCTGCCTGCTGTGGTTAGAGAGC